GTATGTTAGCATTGTCGGCCAAAAGTGGCCGTGATTCTTGATTTTCAGAGCGAGAGCTCGACCATTAGAGTGATTACAACACGCTCCCTGATGTGTTTCTTTCATGACATCTTGTGTCTCCTCACCATGCAGACAGTTGAGCAGGGCTCCTGTCGAACTCCACCGGTAGAGGTCGCCGTATGACTGGACGTATTTGGCGCTTTGAGCTTTAAGATGTCTCGCTGCCCATCGGTCAGGTGAGACTTGGCCATCCGTAATGTAGAGCAAGATTTCGATCCTCCAGTCGTCATTTGATGGCTCCTGTTCATCGGGCTCATCGATGACATCGGGGAGAGGCAATTCGTTGGCGCCTACGTTGTTGGCTTTGAGCTCTTGAACGATACATACTCCTCGAGGCAAGATGATGTTGGGGGTGTCGATGCTTTCGGCTGGGATGACGCGCCTTTGATGCGATTCAGACGTCGAAGCAAGAGCGGCCAGCGCGTCTGCGGAAGTGTTGTCGGTTCTTGGGATTCTGGTGAGGGAGAAAGATTCGAAGCGATCAGTGAGACCCTTAACGGCTTTAAGATACAAATCCATCCGGTCGTTCCTAGTGTCGTAGTCACCGCTGTATTGGCTAGCAACGAGCTAAGAGTCGCAGAAAGCTTCGATTTTCTTGATTCCGATTCCTTGGGCTAGACGAAGTCCCGCGAGCAGGGCCTCGTACTCCGCTTCATTATTTGAGGCTGGGAATTCGATCCGGAATGATTGCTCCAGTATCTCTTTTGTCGTGGATTCCAACCAGATGCCGATACCTGCACCTCGGGATGAGGAAGATCCGTCAACGTATAAAGACCACTTCTCGTCAGGTAGGTCGGTCTGGCTTAACTCCGGGGGAAGCTCCACCAGAAAATCTGCGAGGACCTGCTATTTGGCGCTTGTTTTATTGCGATACTCAATGTCATACTCTGTCAGCTCGATAGCTCACTTCACCATGCGACCTGACTGGCTCGGGCTATATCGTATTGTTCGAAGTGGTTGATTTGTCAAGACGACGATCGAGTGAGACAGGAAGTATGGTCGTAGCTTTCTGGCCGACATAATGACTGCGAGTGCGAGCTTCTCCAAAGTTGGGTAACAATTTTCTGCGTCGTCCAGAGTTTTACTGACGTAGAAAATCGGTGTCAGCTCGCCTCGATATTCCTTGACGAGGACTCTGCTCACTGCCGAGCTTGATACTGCGATGTAGAGGTAAAGGGTTTCGCCCGTTTAAGGTTTTGCTAAAATTGGTGGGCTTGCGAGGTACGCCTTCAGTTGCCGGTAAGACGTTGGACCTCACGAATGTTGCGAGGTGATGGGAGATTGATTAGGGCATCGATCTGCTTCGGGTTCGCCTCGATTTCTCGTTTAGTGACGATGTAGCCGAGGAATTCTCCGGATGTAACCCCGAAAGTGCACTTAGTCGGATTGAGCTTCATTTGATATTGATTCAGGACAGTGAAGCAAGCCTGCAGATGACCGATGTGGTCACAGGCGGTAAGTGATTTTACCAGCATATCGTCGATGTAAACCTCCATCGTTCGTCCCAACTGCTCGGCAAACATGTGGTTGACTAGTCGTTGGTACGTCGCGCCCGCATTTTTTAAGTCGAAAGGCATCACCTTATAACAGTAGGTCCCCCGGTTAGTGAGGAAGGACGTCTTTTTGCGATCTTCGGGATGCATCGTGATCTGATTATAGCCGGAGAAGGTATCCATAAATGACAATAGTTCGTTTCCTGCGGTTGCCTCGACAATTCGATCTATATGTGGCAAGGGGAAACTATCCTTGGGGCACGCCTTGTTGAGATCGGTGAAGTCCACGAAGATTCTCCATTTGCCATTTTTTTTTACGACGACTGGGTTTGCTAACCACTCCGGATATTTTACCTCGACGATCGAGACAGCCTTCGATAGACGCTCGAATTCATCATTGATGGCTTGGGCCTTTTCCGGACCTAACTTTCTCCTTTTTTGCTTGATCGGTTTAAACGCAGGATCGATATTGAGCTTGTGACTTGTTATCGCGGGATCAATCTTAGGCATATCGCGTACCGACCAGGCGAACGTTGATGCATTTCGGCGAAGAAGTCTTATGAGCTCAACCTTAATTTCTTCTTCTAGGTCAGCTCTGATTCCTACGCATCGTTCGGGATTGCTTTCGTCGATGTTTACTTGTACGACGAGCTCTCGCTTAGGTCCTTCCTGAGATGGTAAATCGACTTGAGTTACAGGTAAGATCGTGAGGCACGCCTTGGCTGGAACCATGGATTTGAATCGGAGCTTGTGTTCGGCCGCGAAGCAGAGTCTCGACATCTCTTGAGATCCTCGAATAGTTTTTACCCCGAACGTTGTTGGGAACTTGAGGCATTGATGATAGGTTGATGGCACCGCCTTCATGGATTGTAGCCAGGGTGTTCCCAGAATTACGTTATAGATGGCAGGTTTGTCGATGACGACAAATTTGACGAGGCGAGTCGTCTTCGACAAACCGCATAGACCGAGAGTCTGATCATTCCGATCGAGTAGACCGTATCTCCATCGAATCCTGTGAGTGGCTTAACTGAGGACTTGAGGTGATGGTTTGCGAGTTCCATTTTGTCAAGAGTTTCTTTGAAAATCAGGTCTACTGAGCTTCCTGTATCGACCAATATCCGTGACACCTCGCAATCTGCAACCCGCAGCTCGATCAAAAGCGGGTCGTTATGTGGCATGTCGACTCCCTCCGTATCGGCCTCGGAGAATGTGATCGCATCGCTTTCAGCAGTCTTAGGATCTTTTACTCCCCATTTCTGTGCAAGCATGACCTGGCGGCCGTACTTTTTTATCGACCTAACGGAATCATTGCATGTTGATAGACCCCCTATAATCATGAACACCTTTTTTCGAGATGCTGGAGGAGTGTCACCTCGAGGTTGGTTACCCCGATCTCTCTTTGCGAGGTCGTCGTTGCTTGCTCGCTCGTTGAAGGAAGAGGCAGAGGCTGCTCGGTGGGTACCGTCGGTCGAGCTTCATTGCTGCGCGGTGCGGTATTTTGGGGTTGGTTTGCTAAGGCGATTTCTCCCTTACGATATTTGGCGAGTAAATAAGTCTGTAGCTCGCGACACATCGCCGTTGGATGGCCGTACTTGTTGTGATAATCGCAGAAAGATCTTGTTTCCCCGCGGTCTCCTTGTTGCCATGTGTTTGATTGGTTTTGGTACTGGCGATTCTGTTGTTGTTGAGTGTTATTATTGTATGTCGCTCCTCGGCGATTGTTACCTCGATAGTTATTGTCGAGGTGTTGTCGGGGCTCTTGATAATCTTATTTGGGGATCTCATTGTGAGGTTGCTGTTTTGGCACCGTCTTTGCTGGCGAGGCAATCTCTTTCTTTTCCTCGTCTTCGATGTACAAGGTGGCGCGGTGAAGCGCATTTTCGAGAGTTCGTGGGGTTTGAAGATGTACAAGGTGGCGCGGTGAAGCGCATTTTCAAGAGTTCGCTGAATTTGAAGTTGTCCTGAAACTTCGTATCAATTTGAAGTGTGTTTCGAAGGGTCGACAGCGATGCCTCGAAGTACCGTTTTGGTTTGCCAAAAAAACAGCCAGTAAATGGAAACGTCGTTGCCAAAAAACAGATTGGAGAATCTAAACGTACACACAATACACTAAGCATACATACATTACTAAATTAACCAACATATCATAAGAATCTACAAATTAGTCCTTTTCTTTAATATAATTGCGGTCAAAGCAGTTGGGGTTAGAGAAACGCCACTTCTGAATACTGCATCTGCGTCTGGAGTTCTGCTTCTAGCGGTTGGAGTCAACTATTGAGAAAGTGCGCTTAGAAACAAGGTTATTGACATATTAGGGTTTCTGGTTTCTGTCAGCTCAGATGATTCTTGTCCAGGAAGCAACACACGTGGAAGCTGAGACTTACCTTGAAAGATAATGCCTTTTGGTCCAGTGCCTTTCCTATAATAAGGTCTATCCATATCAACCGCTCATATGATTTAAGTCTTTTGGATATACTCAGAAAACTCTCCACAAAACCTTAACTTGAACACAGCTTTTTCTGGGTTTCAGACAGCCCAGATTTGAACAGTTTCTGATCTTTCTTGCGCAGGAAGCAAAGTTCGCCACAGACTTACCTGAATTCCAATGAAGACTCCGTCAGCTCCGTTGGTTTCACTGACATGAGCTTTCTCCATAAATGGCACAGGTTGGGACTTCCTTGCTCAGATCCATCTGGAAGCTCTTCCTCAAAACACCAACTCAAAACTGTCCTTTGCTTCTTCTTCTTCATCTCTGTTTTGCTTTGCCTCGCCTCTCGCCACTCCGACCTGCTCCGATCCCATTCCCAAATCATATCCTTTGCGGTGGTGATGGTCCATTCTTCCTCCGCAACGTCTCCACCTCTAATTAAGATTTCGCCAAGCTTGTTCTCCTTCTTCTTGTTTAAGAGCGGTCTCTGCCTCCTCTTTTCCTCTCTGTTGTTAATCGCTGTTGTTAATCTAATCCTTCTTTCTCGCTCTATTGCTTCTCTCCCTTTTCCCTTTCATTTCCTCTTCACAGCTTCTTTATCTCTTCTATCTTCTTCTTCCTTTCACGATTCCTTTTCTCCTTCCTCTTTTTTTCTTTTCTTTTTTTATTTCCCTTCTCTTTTTTTTTTTTCTTGCGGCTGTCCCCAAACCTATTTTCTACCTAAGTAATTAGTCTCTAATCAAACCTAAGCTAGATCAGTGAATTAAAGGAAATGAGAAAAGGGGTCAAAAGCTAAGGTTTGGGATGTCACAGATAATGTCAGAGTAAGATCACACTTGAACACCGTTGTTTTTTTTTTTCTTACAATGCTTGTTTCTGTTTTCAAATTTCTTCGACATGTTTTGTAGTATATGGAAGTCGAATTCAATATATCGATGCATTGCAACGTATGCGAGAGAAAAAATCGCTCGAGTTATTTCCAAGTACATAGGTAAATACCAAAGTAACGCTTCCTTGTAATTTATTATAAGATTGGTGTCACGATATATCTATGTTTCCAAGAGTTTTGTGAATTTGAATGATCAACAAGTAGGTGTTGAAACATTTTGTAACGGATATGAACAATCACAAGGTTGTGGTCAAGGTTAGGATTGATCCGAAGAAGTTGTTGAAGAAACTCAACAATAGACGAAGAAACTAGCAAGGAGCAGTTTTACTTGGTGCCTGCAAGGTTCACATCACAAACTTAAAACTAAAGGCCACCTCTTTTCCTTTTGCCTCCGGCTGGCTCGATTTGAACCAAACTTGGAACATAATTAAGAATAGCCACATGACGTCCCTCTGTTATTTCAAGTCCAAAATCCACTTGTGTGACTTTGTTATCCTCCCCAACAATGGATATCACGTCTTTGTTCTTGGTCTCGGTCTCGTCTTCCAAGTCAAGCCAATTCTCACAAATCATGACGACTTTCTTGTCCTCGTCGAACAAGAAATTTGTGTCGTGATCAATTTGAAGATCTGCATGGCTCAAATCCAAAGCTAAGACCTTTGTCCACGACACCACATGGTTGGTCTCATCAATCTTATTTGACACCCAAATCTCAGTCTTGCATGTAACATTCCGCTGAAATAACACGGAAAGTTTCTCTTCTTTCACAACGGAAAGACCTGCAACTACCAAGTTGCCACACTGATAGGGAAACGGCACCGGTACAGCTTTCTCTGTTGAATAATCAAACTTGAGCAAGGATGCATTGCATTGCGCTTTTGTTCTATCTGTAGCGAACCAGTAAGTGCTTCCTTTCAAAGAAGCTTTGAGAAAAGTGAGATCATCGGTCCAGCCTGGAGGGATGACATCATCCTCATCAAGCGTCCTCCATGAGTCAGAGCTGAACTCGTAGATTTCAAAAATGTTGTTTCTACCAATAATATAGCTCAAGACTTTGTAGCTCTTTTTGTTGTCGTATCCGAGAAAAAAGCTGCGGTAGCCTTTATGGCTAGGAGTGCTGGGTCTGAACCACCTGGTTTCACCAGTAAACGGGTTCCAAACCACGAATCTAGATCTGTCCCAGGAGGTGCACAATAGCAATCCGTCACAGTGAAAGACTCGATATATGTCGAATGGAGAAGAATGCGAATCGACTAGGCTAAGCTCACTTTTTACCTCTACAGATGGAACTGGTCCCTCGAGGTCGAAGACTGTCGGACAAATCCTGTCTGCTCTGGTCTTCGTGAGCACCAGAAACTGCTTCGCGGCTTTGTCAGTGTGCTTTCTTGCGAACCTCCCATCACCACCGTTAATTAAACGGTTCCACTGTTTGCAAATAGATCCCAGTCGCTTCAGATACTTAGCCGGAACGTGGCAGAGTATCTCATCCTCCACCAAATCCTTTGGAAGATCTCTGAGTATCGTCATCGCCATCGGTCTCTCAAGGGGAGCGGCGGAGGTAGATCTCTGAACCTGAATACGAGAGAATAATCTTAGGGTTGACTCTACTTTTTAACGGTTAGATTTCGTTTCATCTTATATTCCGGTTTAAATCGATAGGACCCAAAAGACCCGGTATCCGGTTGTGGTCCGGTTCTCAAAGGTGAATTACGCGAATATATCGACCAACAACAACTACGCATTGGACGAGATCAAGGAAGTAAAATGAGAGATTTGGTTTATCTATTAACCGGTTCGTCTGTTTGTAATCTTGAACCAAACCGTATGTACCAAAACGTTTACCAACAATTCATCTTTCCCTTTCACGATCTCAAAGTTGATAGCAAATTCCAAGTTGTGAATGGATCAGAAACTGCGGTTTATGAACAAAAACCGGCATGAGTTTGTCTATTGCGTTGGCTTACATGGAAAGAAACACAAAAGATTCTTATCAAGTCACTATATAGGACTGTAACTTTGAATCGTCATATCATCTCGACTTCAATATCATTTTTTATCCAAGAGGTTCGCGGATTAAACAAGAAGGAAACATGAACAACTCCAACTTGCAGTGTTTCATCTCTAAACCTCACTAAGTCTGACCGGTTTTTCCACTGGCTTCAGCTATCATTACTCCAGCTCACCCCTATTGTACAGCTGCAGTGTATCTGTACAACAATAGAGAGATATGGAGGTCAAGATTTAATGTTTCCGAAAACATTAAGCAAGATCTTGGTGCCAATACACACATGATCTTATTAACATTCCGAGATTAAAAAAAAAAAACCTCGGATATTGAGGTAAGAGAGGAAGAGAGAGTGTACCTGAGCAGCCACCAATGTGCTTTCCTCCTGGTCATGAACAAAAACATGATATACAATTAGATTTGTCAATGTGCAGCAACGAAGATTTCATTGCACATTTCGTGTTTAAGAAATGTTCTGTTTTCAGGCAAAAAATCAAGAAAAAATTATGAGCACTAAAAGTCGATAAAGTATCGACAATACCTCACTACCGCAAAAGTCGAACTATTTATTAAAACAAAGCTCTAGTTATTTTTAGATCACTAAAAGTTTAAATTACCCCTAAACATCTATAAAATATGACAATACCTCACTACTGCCCAAAAACCGACCATTTGCTCACATGTTCTGTGAAGGGTTTTAGATTCTTTGATTTTTCTACGGAAATCAGAATTTTGATCTGAGAGAGGGGGAGAGAGAAATGGGGAGGAGGATATTGAACGATGTGAATTCGGAGAAGCGAGGGAAAGCTTCGGTGGAATTGAGATTCTTCACCTCTCTCCCGTTTCGACTCATGTAAAAAAGTTATGGCCACTTTCTTTCTTTCTTTCCTTTTAAGAACATTGGACATTCTTGAAAACTGTGTTTGTGTGTTTTCAGGTGATTTATTCTTACTGTAGATATAAGCTGTCGGTGTTCGGCAATCTGGTCAATCTATCTTTGGGGATTAGGAATAAGCGAGGTTGGAAATTGCTGGCATACCTGCTTAAAGCTTCAAAGCTTGAAATTCTGATTGTCCAGGTGTATTCTATAAGCAAAACCTATGAACAAATATATATGAACATACACGAACTTACGAACTTAGTGGTTGATCATTTTCATACAACTTGTTGATTGCTGCTTCTTCAGGTTCTGAATGGTTACATAGGCGATGTCTCCATGCCTCTGAACAAAGTGAAGGGATATACAAGCAGCAATCAACATTGGTGGCTGCAATACATCGTTTACAAGCAGCAATACTTCGCATATCCCTAGTTATCGAATACATCGTTTACAAGCAGTCGATTCGCATGTCTCCATGTCTCCATGCCTCTGAACAATGCCATCACTTTTTCTTGCAATGCCTTCACTTTTTCTTACATAGGCGATGTCTCCATGCCTCCGAACAAAGTGAAGGCATTGGATGTTACGAATTCTTTATTTTACCTTAGTATCTCTCACTATCCATATCTTTTAGAACAAGTTATCTAAAATAAAATTTGGTCCATTTAAAATCAGTTTTTCTTGGCAAATTAGATAGAAACTCAACATTCTCAAATTGGAAGAGAAGATAGACCACTGTACTTGTTGAAGAATAGTGTTGAGATAGTGTTGAGATAGTTATGTGAATCAAGAAATATTCCCCTTTTTTTGTAAGAATTCATTCGTTTGGCAAGTTATGGAGACCGGTGGAGCCTACTACATGTCTGTGAATCAAGAAATTTTCAATCTCAATGGGATATAAGTCATAGACATGCAAAAACTTCACTCAAACTTGTAAAATTCTGAATAAGTTTTAGCTTAGAAATTAAGAAGTTGAGATTTTTCATTCAAACAGGTAAAAAAACTGATGCTCTGATATAATTCCACAGACCATCACATTTTACGGAGAAGACCATGTAGGGGAAAGGAAAAAACTTAAACTAGAATAGTTTAAGCGTGATTAATTCGAAACAAACATTAGCTCGTGGTCAATACAAATCTCCTGTTATATGGCTCTGTCTGCATCAACCACAAAAACCAGCTTGAGTCTCATTGCTTAACACCAACTTCATCCTCCTTGAGGCTTCCACAAACGTTACATTCAAGAACCCTCGAAGCATCATGAGTCTTTGGCGGAAGCGGAGCAAGAGTGCCAAAACAATTCTCCTTCTCACACATATATCTCGCAAAGAAATATGCGTGAGGGAAACTAGATTCTTCTTCTTCTTCTTCCTCTTCTCCACCCTCTAAATCCTCCATCTCTTCTTGTTTACCTTCATCCTCCATCTCTTCCATAGCCTCGTTCTCATCTTCCTCTTCCTCGCCTTCCGACCAACTAGATTCCACTTTGCACCGATCACAAACACATTTGAAACCATAATCTTCAAGCAACCTCTTTTGTCTGCTCGAGTAGTTCATGTTCACAGGGAAGTAGCTCAAACAGACTTCTCTTCCTTCAGGAAGATCGTGAATCATCCTTATGACGATATCGGTATTGCCATCGGAATCAGAGTCGACGTAATCGAATCTACAAGCATTAGGAAGACAATCGTGATTGAAAAACGACGTATTGGGATAAATCCCATACGCGCGTACCGATCTTTTCTCATTCGAAACAGAGAACGGCTCCATCAAGCCAAAGCCGTTAACTTTATCCTTAGCCAGCAGAGCCGCCGTGATCTCCGGCGAGAACGAAACCGGAATAGGTGGACACACGGCGGATAAAAGAGAATGAAGGAAATTAACTGCGGCGGAATCAGCAGGATCTCCGTTACCTTGGAGAGAGAGCAATAACTGGAAATCAGAAGGAGAATTGGCGGCGAGGTCGTAAGAGGCGAGGAGGAAACGAGCTTGGACTTGTCGTTCGGGAGGTTGATCGGAGAACGCGGCGGAATATGATTGGTGAATCCAGCGGAGAGATTCGCAGAGCCAAGGAGTGTGAGAGGCGGAGCAAGAACGGTAACTACAAAAGGAGACGAGGGAGCAAGATTGACATTTCCGCGCCGATTGAGATAGCTGCCGGAAACAATGGTCGCAGTAAGGAGAAGAAGGAGAGGAGAGGAAGGGAAAAGCAGAGTAGAGGAGGAGAGGAGACTCTCTGAGGATAACTTGTCCAGCACGAAGAGGCTGTGCCGCCACTAAACTTCTTCCTCTTCCTTCGATTTCTGCAATTCTCAGCAGCGTCTCCGCCTTAGCTCCGCCGTCGTTCATCTTTTACCACCAGCCGCCGTCGATTAGGGTTTTAACAGAATTAAACAAATTTATACGGAGGCAAATGGGAAAGGACTAAACGGTGTCGTTTTATTATCACGTTGACGTTTGGGTATAAGAGAGACATACTAATGGGCCTTATACATGCTCGTCGCACTTTTGGCCCACGAGGTAAGAAAATGATCATACAAAATTGTGTTTATGATGAATCAAAAGAGAATTAGGTGTTGGAGCCTACTTGAAACGGTTAGGTCTACCAAATTTGTTTTTCTATAATACAATTAGATTCGTTTGTTGAGAATGGATAACCTGTTTTCTATTTTGATATCAGAATATCTTTAATCGATAGTTGTATAATAGATTGGGAAAGAAAAAAAGTATGTTACATGTTATGGTAAATGATAAAAGTTGATGATTTAGTGACCTTAGTTTTTGATAGGACCTTCTCAAACTATTTGTAGGTTCTGTTCAAATTTTTTACTACGGATATATTTAATATGACTAATTTTTATACAGTATTTAGGTCCAAGTTCATATATTTAATTGACCATTTAAAATAACTCGTTAAATCGAAACCATGTTCGATTGTTTACTTGCACATATTAAAAAATGGCATTATTTCCTTCTTGTTACTTACGGCATGTAATGGATGTTTATGTTAAAATTGTGGTCTAGTGACAACTAAGACTAGAAGACAAAATAAATGGTAAAGTTGTAAAAGTTAAATGAATGAAATCGTTGAAAAGTAAAATGTTTCAAGTTTCATAAATCGATCCCATTTTGTTTGTTTGTCCTAAAATTGAAACAAATGACATTAATAAATTGGAATTGAAATCATGATTTTTTGTGTTTATCATAAAAAGAAAGAGAATTAGTTAGTCCAATAATGTTTGTCTACCGATCAGAAACTTTGAATGTAGGCCTTGAATGTTTGCAGATTTTAGAATAGATTTTGGTTTTTGTTTTTCAAAAATCTATTTTTTCATCCATTCAAGATTTTAGTAAAACTGATTCCCTATTTTTTAGGAAAACTAGTTTTTCAAATAACTACCATTTTGTAAACAAAAACTAAAATCTACTCTCATGTAGTTTTTATCTCAATTGTCGTGACTTTTTGTTCTATAAAAATAAAATATATATATATATATATATTAATTAAACAATTCTTAGCCATCAATATATTTTTTATATAAAATCATCAGTCTCATACTATCATACATACAAAACAAATCTCATAATTTTGTCAATTAAATTTCTGCAAAATAAATTTAATTTTATTAATAAAAATATATCTAAATTAATAACTTTAAAAGCATACATATTTACATACACATTCATATATGCATTTCAGTAAAAATGTGCTTGTTTTTTTAAACACTTAAAACAAAACAAAGTTTGAAAAAACATTAAAAAATATAAATCAAGGTTTAAAAAATATATATATATATATATATAAAACAAAAACCAAAATATAAATAAACCACAATTCAAGTTTTTTTGAACCCAAAATCTACAGCAAAATCAAAAACTGAAAACTCAAAAACTAAAATCTAAAAACCAAAAACCAGAAGTCAAAAACCAAAAACTAAAATCTAAAAACCACTCAAACATTCATGGTCGTAATAAATGAAAAAGAGAGAGAGAGACAGAGACGTAACAAAACGGCGCCGTTTGAATTTCGGCGCAAATCAGAAAGCCACTAATAAAAAGAAAGTTGATCGGCGTCGGTGGTAATGATTTAACCGCTGGCCATTAACGCAAACGCGGCTTTCTTATAAACTCACACAGACATCGAGACAGAGAAAGGAGTGGTCCACTCTCTATCCATCGAAGAAGAAGAAGACAAAGAAAGACGAGCAAATAGAGCCGTTGAAGCGTACAATCTAAGGCATTAGCCCATAAGAAACCAAAAAAGAGTATTCTTTTTCTCTTTCGATTTCAATATAAGTGAAGAGAGAGAGAGAGTGAGCGAAAGTCTCAGTTTTCATGGTTTCACGGGACATGGCGGGTTTAAACGACGACGTCTCACTCGACATTGAAGAGATCTACAATGGTGGGAAGGTTTGTTTTAGCTACGAAATTTACTTTCTTTATTTACTTTCTCGACCCATTTCCCTATCTCTTTCGTTTTCCTCATTTGCTCTGGTTTTCTACTTTTATGGCAATGTGAATCGTCGCATTTCGGTTTCTCTCTCTATGGTATTCCTAATTAGCTTCCAATCTAAGTTAGAATTTTTGGGTAATTGAAGATTTATCTTCAGTATCTATAGCTTCTTTTTCAGATTGAAATCAATGTATTATTTAGCTGTTTGTCAAAGCGTTCTGGATTTAGTTTTTAAGCATAAGTTGGATTGAAATCAAAGTGGGTTTTCACTTAAAAGTTGTTTCACTTTGTCTTATGATGATGATCTGTTGAATTTCATCAGAAATCCATCAATTTGGGAGTTTGTTTTATTCGATTCTCATTTTTCTTCTGCATAAAAAAGGTCAAAGAGATTCCCTTGAAAAATGGTATCTTTTTTATTTGCTCCATGATTGATATATGATGTCTGACTTTTTTTGTAGCTACAAGTTATCTCTTCTACTGATTTTCTGAGTCTTGCACATGGGAGAATCTCTTGGGGACCTTTTTTTTTGTGTGGTCTGGAACAAAGTTGGAATGTTCCTTTATTAGCTGTATCTGCTTAAAAAGAAAATAAGATTATTGTGGTTTCTAAATGTTAAGCTGAGTTTTTGGATGAGACTAATGGTGTGCATATGACAATCAAAGCTTGTGGCATTGTTTAGTTTTTCTGTTAATTTTTGGATAAACTGATTCGTTTCTTCCTTGTTTTGATCTTTTGCAGGAGCATCATGTCAAAACTTGCCATGGTTTAGTTTCAGTTGTAGTCTATGGAGATCAAGAGAAACCAGCATTGATCACTTACCCAGATGTAGCACTTAATTGTAAGAGTTGGGAGATAGGCATCACTAGTTCATGAATTGTTTTCACTCAATAATCTGATAAGATTCGTTCTTTATTATTGTTTGCTAGATTTGTCGTGTTTCCAAGGATTGTTTCTCTGCCCTGAAGCAGTGTCCTTACTCCTCCATAACTTCTGCATCTACCATATTAGTCCCCCAGGACATGAGGTTTGCAAAATTTGAGCTTTCTTGAAACAATTCTATTCTTTATATATCTACTTTGCTGCTTGCTCACGTTGTTCGGTTCCATCGTTTCTACAAAGAGTTTTTGTAGTTCGGAGCTGCTCCAGTTTGTTCCAATGATCCTTCGCCTTCTGTTGAAGACCTTGCGGACCAGATTCTTGAAGTATTGAACTTCTTTAGGTAATAAAGCTTGAATCATGTTTCAACTAACTCTCTTTCTAAATTTGGCAATCGCACATATAGTCCTGAAAGTGTATGTATATGTCTCTTGCAGCCTCGAGGCGGTAATGTGCATGGGGATCACAGCTGGTGCCTACATCCTTTCCTTATTTGCTGTATGTACTCATTGAGGCTCCTTGAGGATTGATTCGATAGCTACATTCGTAGAACATCATACAATATTAGTGATTGTTTTATGATTGCAGATTAAACATAAAGATCGAGTTTTAGGTCTGATTCTGATATCCCCTCTATGCAAAGCACCCTCATGGTCTGAATGGTTTTATTACAAGGTTAGTTTATATGACTCTACAAAAGGATAAACCACACACGTTTCATTGTACATCCAGACGAATAACACGATGTTAATAAGTCTTATTCTGCTGCAGGTAGTGTCAAACTTGTTGTACTATTATGGCATGTCTGGATTGTTAAAAGATCGTTTTCTTCAGAGGTACTTTAGTAAGGTAAGCTTTACTTGTGATAATTTCCTTGAGGAACCTCGCATATACTCCTAATAGACATCGATTTTTGATAGTTGTTTTTAACCCATTACAGGAAGCTCGTGGTAGCTCTGAAGTTCCAGAGCGGGATGTAGTACATGAATGCAGAAGAGTCAGTGCTTAAATTAGTAGTAGTTTTTTGTTTGTTGATGATTACAATTTTTTTTTCTTCACATTAACTTTTGTTGTAACACTTGTGTGTATCATTGATCCAGCTGCTCGGTGAAAGACATGGTATTAGCCTTAGGCGGTTTCTGGAAGCAATTAACAGGAGACACGACATAACTGATGGGTTGAGAAGTTTGAAATGCCGTACACTCGTTTTTGTTGGCGACCAATCTCCTTTCCACTCTGAGACTCTTCACATGGTGGCTGCATTGGACAGAAAATACAGCGCCTTGGTTGAGGTAAACTAAGGAAACTCGGTAATCTTTAGAGCAAAAGCTTCTCTCAAGGTTAAAGTTTGAGGCTTTTTAGATTTCTTGGAACATGGTTTTGATGTTTCTATGTCTGAATTTTGCAGGTGCAAGCTTGTGGATCAATGGTGACAGAAGAGCAACCACATGCGATGTTGATACCAATGGAGTTCTTCTTCATGGGGTTTGGACTGTATAGGCCTGGTCGGGTTAGTGATAGCCCTCGGAGTCCACTCAGTCCGTCGTGTATTTCGCCGGACCTTCTCTCTCCGGAGAGTCTTGGTCTCAAGTTAAAGCCCATAAAAACTCGGGTTCCCACGATATGTTGAAGCATTGATTCATTCTTTTCTTTCTTTCATATTTTGTGTACCAAATCATAATATTCTTTAATTAAATTGTATTTGTTGTACTCTGTAATCGATTAACTCAAAAACTCTTTATTTAAGAGAGATACGTAGTAGGTTTTATGAGTTGGTATTATTACAATACGTTGAAGATTGTTTCTACTTTTGTTTCAGAAGAAAGAAGAAAAAAAAACAAACTAAGAAATAAACTTTCCTACCTTTTTACCCAAAAAAGTTAAAGAATCCCAAAACATTTCAAAAAAAAAAAAAATGAAGCGAAGTTACAAGTCTCTGTAGTTATCTTCGTGTAGAGATTTTATACAATTTCCTCTTCGGTTTTCTTCTCCGAACTCTCCAAAACATCTATACATCCGGAACACAATCGACGACGGTTCCCAATCACTACCTCTGTGCCCTAGCTTGAGATCAGATGTGGCTTGATACTGTCGTGTGTTATACTGAAACATCATCAAGAGTCGTGAAGAGAACCTTGGATCATCAGAGATATACGCTTTGCACTCTCTGAATGATACAAGTCTCCTTTGAAACCAATCTGTAGAGATGAAGAAATTAAAGTCCAAAGTTGATTTTGAACCAAAGTTGTAGAGAGAACGGGAGAGACACACACACAGAAATGAATTTGGATTTACCTCGCTTGAGCTGTCGGGAGAGAACCACCGTAAGAGAACTCCTAAATGTACAACGGCTGGTATCAACTTGAATAGCAATGGTGTTGTTACCTGTAAGCACGCAAGTTCCGTGTCATATATTTTGTTCTAAACTTACACTTGAAATGAATATGGACCATACCAAGCTTAAAGCCGTTGTTCCAAGAAGCAGGAGGTACAGTTTGCTCTGCAAATAAATTACGAGCAAGCTATATTATGGTACACCACACAACAGCCTGTAAGATATATGCTTAGTTGGATCTAAATAATCAAACGAAGGTATTTTGATTGCTTACCTCAATTAGGTGAAGATTAGATGCTCGACTTAGCAGAACAAAAGCAAATTCTCCAATTTGTGCAAGGGACATTCCAACCTATAAAGGCAAGAATAACTGTGAGACCTACGGGAAGGTTTGGAATAGTGTCAAAACATTAAAGTGGTCACTTCTTACAAGTACTGCAGTTTTGTTATTGTATCCAAAGACTTTAACAACGACTGCCACTACCACGGTCTTTATCACTATCACCAGTAACACGGCTGCTAGCAGAATGTCAACATGGTTCCACAAAAAGTGCATATGTATTAACATGCCGATACTAGCAAGGAATAGCGCTGCAAAAAAGTTGCGGATGGGTTCCACCTGCAAAAGGAACGGGAACGAAGTCACGAATAGTATATACGCAGTAAAGACACTTCTGAAATTAAGAGTGCCCAAAGAAAATGGAAAGAGACTTCTTACTTGTTCAAGAGTATGCTGGGCGAGATCAGTTGTTGAGATCATCACTCCTGCCGCAAAGGAACCCAACTCAAGGCTTAAACCGAGCTTGTCACTACACTGAAGAAGACAAAACAATACTGAGCTCATGAACTGGAAAATATTAGATTCACACAGCCAATAGGCAAGAAGAACAATCAGACTAACCCAAGCGACAAGCAAGCAAAATGCTACAGCGGCCAACTGGTAGAGCTCGTTAGTCTGTCAAAGATTGACGAACACTTGAGTTGATAGACATTTTAAAGACCAAAACGGAAGCAGTTAAGAATTGTTTATATACCTGAGAAGAAAGGCTTGTCATAAGTTTTAGAAACCAAGGTACCCAGGTACGGGACAATACAAACAAAGTAGCCAAAAACGCAATCAAAATAGCCAACCTGGAAAGAAATAATCACACGGTCAAAAATAAATAAAAAAAGTCAAATACTTGGATTGATTAGACACAGTATAACAAGTGTAAAAAGGAAGCAGGATACTGTCGATATTTTCACAGAACTTCCTGAAAAATAGAATACATACGATTTAGCCATGGACAACACTCCTTGTAGGACACCAGATGTGCCACCAAGAACGGGAAGGAGAGCAAAAAGCAAACCCACAGCACAGTCCTAGAGATTCATGAAACCATAAATTAAAAATTTAATGAAAGTTACTGTTGCATAAAACATATTAACTGATGAAACGCAGTCGCATACAAAAGAGTGCGCGGAAACAAACGCTGTGAAAATTATATAGATGTGCTATTGTTTGGAGAGTGGCTAGATACCTGAAGGATAAGAGTTCCAACGGTTATCTGGCCATGTAGAGCACTTATGCTATTTCTTTCCATTAAAAATTTCAAAACCTGGTACAGTAATCACATATGAGAATTAAGCCGCTTTAGGAAAACATAACCGGTCCAATAAAGATAAGATGAAATACAGTGAGAGTGAGCACAATGCATTAATTCTAACAGTGTAGAACAAAGTCAAAATATTACAAATGCAAAACCGTATAATATCACATAAGTTATGCAAAAATACACGAGTGATTATAGGCTATACCACCGCTGTTGATGACATCGAAAGAAATGCACCTACGAATATTCCTTCTGTTAGTTTACCACCACATAACTGCAATGAAGAAACAGCCAAGTCAACCGAATGCATTCTCTGTTCATTATATAAACACAAAATGCCTAATAACTCAATCTTAACTCGACTGCTACTACTATTAAGAAACTACAACATACCGAGGCTGTTATCCCACTCAAGCACATGAACAAAAATATCTGAAGGAGACCTCCTGGAATAGCTACTGCACGAACTACACGAAGCTGCAACCACAAAGTACAATAACTGTCTCAAAAGTTTCAATCGGTTGGAACAAGGAAACCAGACAAATAATATAAGAGGGGGGAGCGAACCTTTGCTGCAGAAAATTCTAATCCTAAAGCAAAAAGGAGAAAGATAACACCAAACTGAGCTACTGTTTCAACCTGTGCTACACAAAAAAATATAAATCAAGTCCTTGTCAACCATTATATAACCAGGCCATCTCTTAGTCATGAAAACTTCCGTAGAAACATCATTTGAATACAAAAGAAGGAGTGGAAGAAGTAAAGCTGATGTAAGCTACCTGCACCATTTCACTAACAAAGCTTAACCCACCCGGCCCAATGACAGATCCAGCCAATAGATACCCAGTAATCACCTGCCATGTAAGCAGTGTAGAAATTAAATAATGTTGCCACGGTTTGATCATTCAAGTGCCAACAAATTGGTTTCTATACTTTCAGAAAGCTGAATCCTCAAATGCTAACGGAATAAACCGGAAAGTCACAAGCTCTGCAAAGCAAGTGTGTGCTTACCGGTTGACCAGCACAAGCAAAGGCAATTCCACCACAAGTAGCAGAAACAATGACGACGACCAAATCTGATATCAGCCTAATAAATGTTTTAAGAGAGATGTCGCCAACAAAAAACCCGTAAGGTAAATTCTTACAAAATATAATCGAACAACGAACTTCCCTTACGAATGGTAAACTTACCTTAAATCTAGCTGCAGTACAGGGTACTTGGATTTTGGATTGGACATGATAAAAATGTTGTCCTGAATTGGAGTAAGCAGCAAATTCACATTACGGGAATGTTTTTACAACCGGGCGCATAATAGATGTATATTCTTCATTTCTTCAGCAATATACAAATATTTTAAGAAAATGTAAGCTTTTACCTTCCTATCTATCAGTCTCGGAGTATCTTCTAAGCCATTCTCGCTATCCAAATTAAAGAATGATCTAGAATAAAAGGCACTGATTGTGTTATAGTTTGCATTAGCCTGTCAAACAAAAGTAGATAACAGCCACTAATTGCACGTAACCACTCCAAAGAGGGTTTAAAGTATCAGGAAGACTCACTTCTCCTCCTTGGTCTTGGTCTCATTTTTCTTGGGCTTAACTCGAGCAACGGTCTCCAGAACGGCCTAATGAGCATAACAAATTGCTTCATTAAAAGAAAGAAACAAAACAAGACAAGATTGTGTATAAGCAATATGGCCCGAGTGAACAAAGATCAAGAATTGCAGCTACCAACCTGCTGATCAGCAACACTATTATTGAAGCTTCCTGGATCAGGAACTGCAAAAGCAAAAAACATTTCAAAAACAGCATATTCAATGACTAAATGACATTTTTTTCATGTCTACACGCAATTCATTAAATGCTAGAAACCATTAAACAGGAGAAATCTATAAACCTAATGTAAATAGACAAAAATTCTAGAATAGATATAAACAGATGTGAGCACAGAGACCACTTAGCTAATCAATGATAAATCCCTAGAGAGGAACAATGATCACAAGCAAGTTGAAACTGCAATCGAAATCCGGGAGAAAACTGAGGCCAAAAACAAGCTGATCTCTCAAGGCAAAAACCCTAGCTCCACCAAATGCAAAAAATGAAAAACAAAAAACATTGAAGATCTAGTAGAAGGAACCTTCATTCTGGTCATTCTCCGGGAACTCCTTCTCAAGTGCCCGATCGATCATATCAGCGAAACTGTCCTCCTTAGGTTTCGTGCTCGTCGCATTGGACTCAGCGGCTGTGCCATTGATCTCCCGTGTGACAACTGAGTCAGTCTCGATATCGGACTCGGCGGAAAAAGCAAGAGAGAAACAACAGATCAGAAGTAACGCGAGAAACCTCATCGCTTTCACACCAGAATTACGCCGCCGCATCTCAGTGATGGTGGCGCGGCGGAGCGATAGAGAGAGAAGAGAGAGAGAGAGAAGAGAGAGAGAGAGTGAGATCGATTTTCCTCGTGTGTGCTTCTTCTTCTTCTCTCTTTCCGGTGGTTGGAGAACGAGAAAGCAGAAAGATTGTGGCAAAATTAATTTTTTATTTTTTAATTAATTAGTGATTTAATAGCTTTATTAATTAATTCCTCTGTTTGCTTAAGGGCCAAAATGTTAGCGTTATAAAGTCCTTTGATTCTGGAAACAAAATTGTGTGGGACGTTGTAAGTGGTAACCGAATCCTTATCACACGCGCTTTTCTCTGGCGCGTGGGTTTTCTTAAGAGAAAAGTATTACTATAATAAAGTAGAAGAAAAAAAGTGATAATATTTGCTGAATTCGCACATTATATAAAAAGATTACGCTTAGAGATTTGAATTTATCTTTCTAGGTTTTGATTGAAATGTTTGGTCTCTTTTGGCTTGTTTAGTTTGGAGTATTTTTACCAAATTCCCTTTATTTTATTCCCTCTTACCTAAGCAAAACTTGGATTAAGTCATTTACATCAGATCTAGTTTGCCTTGACAAAAAGATATAAAAACAAATACATATAAATATATTGAATAGTTATCTTTTAAACTTAAAATTTATAGATTAGTTTTGCTTTTTAACCGTATTTAAAATAATTTGAATTTATTGATTAGTGAGATTGGGTTGTACTCAAACAAATACCACCGTCTGATTTATAAACAAAATTTGTCTTAGGTTTAATTTTTCTAATTGATAACCCCAATTAGTGAAGGTAAATGTATATAATGCAAAGCCTAGAGAAATATTACATCGAAAATGAATAATCAAAAATGGGTTTTAGCATTTTGTTATCTATTTATTGCCATCATATATATATATATATATATATAATCAATTCACATTTTATGGGATGTGATTACGGAGATCTCATTGCACCGGCTCACAGGAGATCAAGCCTAGTCAGAATGTCAAACTAATATCGATTTGAACCGTCGACTGTACGGCATGAGTCAAAGATATTTGACAATATATATTATTTAATTTCCATGTACTTAACATAATCCGCATACTACGTTCTCGCTTATGATTCCCATTTTAGGTTATAAGAAAAGAATGAAGTTTAAAGTGACGTTTACATTAATGAGACAGCAAAACAAAAGAGTGAAGTTTAAAGTTGACAAGAAAGAGTGAAGTGTAAATAATTGGTTGTCACACAGAGGAATCTCAACCTTTTATCTTGAACTGCATAGTGTAATTTAGGTTATGGAATGTTTTAATCCTATATAGTCAGATTCAAATTGATCACCAAAGAAGAAAGTACCAAGGTGGTGTTTTGGTACTTTCGTTAGTTATTAGAATTAATATTGATTTTATTAGCAAGTTATGCACTTCCATTAGTGTATGTGACATTTTTCTTATCTATTTTATTAAAACAGAAGCACATTTAGTGCTTGCATTCAAACACTCCCAAAGTTTTTTTATAATATTTTATTTTATTTTTATATTTAATTTCCGAAAATTAGTTATTAATTTATATATTTTTAGATTTCCTAAAATCTAGATCATCTTTAATTTAAATTTTAAATTATTAGAAATTTAATTAAATTTAGTTACAAAAATTTGCATTAAATTTAATATAAATTCAAAAAATCAAAAAAATTATAATTAAATTTTATTACGAAAATTTAGATAATAATTTTAATACTTTAGAATTTCTTAAATACAGGAAAGATTTAATTTTAAATTTTAAATTTAAATAATATTTTTATAAAAATACATAGTAAATAAATATTTTATCATATTTTATCATAAACAATCGGTCTAAAATATCAAATATTTGAGATTAATAAATATTTATATTATACAATAATATGATCGAGCTGATTAGAGTTATATATATATATATATATATATAAAGTTCATGAGTTAATTTATTAAAACATGTAAGATATTAAGATGATTTGAGACAATTAAACTAACAGATCAGCCCGTTTATATATATATATACATTTTTTAATAGCACAAATAGTAAATAAATATCTTATTATATTTTTTCATAATCAATTGGTCCAAATATTCCATATTAGTAAATATTTATAGGGTTATACAATTATAATTATAGTCTTATACGGGTTAGTTTGTCAAAACATGTAAGATATTAAAAATGATTTAAGACAACTAAGCGGATGGATTAGCAAATTCATAGATATATAGATTGTTTATGTGTAAATCTAAATTCACATAATAACAAAGTTTATTATTAACATTAGATCAATGTATACTTAATTAACGTATACTCTTATTCTACTAATATACAAATTTTACTGTTTAAAATTAAAATATGATAACAATTTTTTGATTTAAAAAAAATAAATAACAAAAATAAATTATATCTAAACAAAAAAAGATAAATGCAATTTATATTAGAAATAAATAAAATAAAATATTCCCGTGTGAACTCACGGGATTAAAATCTAGTTAAATATTAACAGAGAGGCGTTTTGTTGAAAAAAAATTGATAGTGCTAATAATGAAAAACAAGTTTCTTTCATCTATTGGGCCTTCACATCATCGTTACATACAAATCGTTTATTTTGTTAATTATTTTCTTTGTCGTCTATTTTTTTTTTCATTTTGGTCAAGATTTGTAGTCTATTAATTATATACTAGATTTTAATCCCGTGCATTTGCACGGGAATGTTTTATTTTTTATTTCTAATATAAGGTGCATTTATCTTTTCTTGGTTAGATATAGTTTATTTTTGTTATTTATTTTTTTAAATCAAAAAATTGTTATCATATTTTAATTTTAAACAGTAAAATTTGTATATTAGTAGAATAAGAGTATACGTTAATTAAGTATACATTTATCTAATGTTAATTATAAAACTTTGTTATTATGTGAATTTAGATTTACACATAAACATTTTATATATCTATGAATTTGCTAATCCATCCGTTTAGTTGTCTTAAATCATTTTTAATATCTTACATGTTTTGACAAACTAACACATATAAGACTATAATTATAATTGTATAACCCTATAAATATTTACTAATATGAAATATTTGGACCAATTGATTATGAAAAAATATAATAAGATATTTATTTACGATTTGTGCTATTAAAAAAAAATATATATATATATAAAAACGGGCTGACCTGTTAGTTTAATTGTCTCAAATCATCTTAATATCTTACATGTTTTAATAAATTAACTCATGGACTTTATATATATATAACTCTAATCAGCTCGATCATATTATTGTATAATATAAATATTTATTAATCTCAAATATTTGATATTTTAGACCGATTGTTTATGATAAAATATGATAAAATGTTTATTTACTATGCATTTTTATAAAAATATTATTTAAATTTAAAATTTAAAATTAAATCTTTCCTGTATTTAAAAAATTTTAAGTATTAAAATTATTATCTAAATTTTCGTAATAAAATTTAATTATAATTTTTTTTGAATTTTTTGAATTTATATTAAATTTAATGCAGATTTTTGTAACTAAATTTAATTAAATTTCTAATAATTGAAATTTAAATTAAAGATGATCTAGATTTTAGGAAATCTAAAAATATCTAAATTAATAACTAATTTTCGGAAATTAAATAAAAATAAAATAAAATATTATAAAAAAAATTTTGGGAGTGTTTGGATGCAAGCTTCTGCTTTAATAAAATAGATTGTCATAAAAATTATTTGATTTTAAAATATTAAAAATAATGATCAATCCATTTTATCATATGACGTATAATGATTAATCGATTAAATCTATTAAATCTAAAGTACCTACCAATCGATTGAATCTAAAGTACCTACCACACATGCAGTTACGATGAATGCATGGTGTTACGAACGAAATCTACGACGGAATTGCTCATTGCAACAGATAAATCAATGATATATGCGAGATTCTATATGCAAGCTATAATACGATGGAATTTCCAAAGAATTTTGCATCAAAACCTTCATAAAAAAGATTATAATATTCTTCTTTAAATATTCTTCACAAAGTAAAACAAGTTAGATCATAAATCAAGTAAAGCTATCTAGTGAAGCTTGGGTTAACAAAAATAACAAAAGCAGGATGATACGTCTTTGTGAATTAGGTCTTGTCCCATTAAGCTCAATGGGCCGTCTTGGTTGAATAGATAATGTCGGTGCGATTTTATGAAGCATATGATAATCCGGAATATTCGACGCTAAAAGGAAATTCTTAAACCTACTCTACACAACATCCCAAATTTTAGTAATAAAATATAAAAGATTTTTATTCAAAACCGAGAGCGCCCATAGGAGGGGCTTAGTTCTTTCGCTTGATTCCGCTTAGACTCTCACATGCATGGACTTTCTCCATTGTTGGATTCATCAACCTATAACATATTTTAGCTGAATTGATTAATTCTAGTTCTCGATCGAGCATTTTTTAAATAAAAAATTAGAAAATACTTTGTTCACAAATCTATTTTCAAGTAAATGAGTAGAACGAAACCCAAGAACAATTTATAGGCGTAATTTTAACAACAAAAATATGTAAGAGAAAAAAAAATGGGGGTCAATGAGATGTATAATAGCATCTCCAATGGTTTCTTCATTTGTTACTTCAAAAATGAAAATAAAAAATGAAGAAACCATTAGAGTAAATTTTTCTTCATTTTTTCCTTCAAAAAGAATATTCCAAACATATTTCATCTCTATTTTATTATTAATTGCTAATAAAGTCCTCTACTTTTCAGTTTTACAAACTTTCACCTATTTATTTTATTTAGAACAATTGTTAACCAAATTATGATTTTATATAATTTAAAATTTTATTATATAAAAAAAATTAATGTAATGTAAATAAGAACAAACCATACATAAAAACAAACCATACATAAGAGGAAAAAAATACATAACGTAAATAAGAACAAACCACAGCATAATCTTATCATGTATGAGAAGACACATATTTTTCCCATAAATGATCAATTAATGCATTTTGAAGAGAGAAATGAGCTTCTGTATTGTCATTTTATTGCAGTTTTACTTTATAATTTGATTAGTTAAATTTATTGTTTTAAAATTAATTGGGTTAAAAAAACATATAAGTTGTGTTTGGGTATAAATCAAAACATATAAAAAGTTAAGGATACATTTTGTAAATAAAAAAGTTCACCTTCAAAAAATGAAGAAATGAACAGTGTTCCTTCATATTTGAAGGAACACTGTTCATTTCTTCATTTTGAAGGTGAAATTGAAGCACCATTGGAGAAGATTTCTTCATTTTTGTCTTCAAAATGAAGGAAAAAGTGAAATATGAAGGACCATTGGAGATTGGTCTTAGGATACAATACAATACGAGTCACGATGGGCTATAGGTCCAATGAATATAACTTATGAGTGAGTGATAAGGAAAAACACTTTCCTTGTGAAGAAGAAAGAGAATTCACAAAAACTTGGTTAGAAGATCATTCATAATGGAAAATTCAATACTGTTGATCACATCACATGGTTGTATGGACTGAACTTGGACTTTTCTTTAATCCTATAGTTCATTTTACATTTTTCAAGGCAGATTTTTATTTCTTTAATCTTTAATATCTGATGTTCAAAAAAAAAAAAATCCCCGATATCTAATGATACTCCAAGAGTTAAATAAAAAAGGTATTGAAATAAACAATTGAATTTTGCCTCCCCAAGTAGGCAACTATTCCTCCTAGCGCACAATACAGAAAAAGTGACCTCACTCTCACTCCACGCCTATAAAATGCTCCTTAAATGCATAACTTTTTCAATCAATTTTTGTCTAAAAACAGCAAAATAGATGGTTTTGATCAAAGAGAGAGAGATGGAGATTCCGGTTATTGATTTTGGTGAATTGGATGGAGAAAACAGAACCAAGACTATGTCACTTCTTGATCATGCATGTGATAAGTGGGGCTTCTTCATGGTATGTCGTATAATCTTTATGACCAAATCAAGTGTTTCTAAGATATGCATATATATGTTTCTAGATCCAGTTTTAGAGCTGTGTATAGCGTTCATTAAGTGAGGAGCTATGAATTTTCAGGTTGATAATCATGGAATTGATAAAGAGTTGATGGAGAAAGTGAAGAAGATGATTAACTCTCACTATGAGGAACATCTGAAAGAGAAGTTTTACCAGTCAGAGATGGTAAAGGGTTTGGGTGAAGGCAAAACCTCAGATGCAGATTGGGAAAGCAGCTTCTTCATTTGGCATAAGCCAACTTCGAACATTTGCCAGATCCCAAACATTTCAGATGAGCTCATGTAAGTAACTAACAAATGATTTGTCCAAAGCTTTTACCATTTACCTGTTTCGCTTATTATACTAAACAATGTGAGGCTTCTGGTATTGCAGCAAGACCATGGATGAATATGTTTCTCAACTACACAAGTTTGCAGAAAGGCTCTCCAACCTCATGTGTGAAAATCTTGGTCTTGGTCAAGACTACATAATGAAGGCCTTCTCTGGTCTAGAAGGTCCAGCTTTTGGGACAAAAGTGGCTAAATATCCAGAATGCCCTCGTCCTGAGCTCATGAGAGGGCTGAGAGAACATACCGATGCTGGAGGAATCATATTGCTCTTGCAGGATGATCAAGTGCCTGGTCTTGAGTTCTTAAAAGATGGTAAGTGGGTATCGATCCCACCATCCAAGAACAATACCATTTTTGTCAATACAGGTGATCAAGTCGAGATACTGAGTAATGGGAGGTACAAGAGTGTTGTGCACCGTGTAATGACTGTGAAGCATGGAAGTAGACTGTCGATAGCAACATTTTATAATCCAGCAGGTGATTCCACAATATCTCCAGCTCCGGAGCTCTTGTATCCAAGTGGTTACCGGTTTCAAGATTACCTTAAGCTTTATTCAACCACTAAGTTTGGAGACAAAGGCTCCAGACTTCATACCATGAAGAAAATGGAGTATGGGGATTATTCCGTCTAGGATGCATCTGAATGTAACGCTTCTGTATTTCACACGAAATTCTCTATTTTATTATAAAGTTTGTTTCTTCTTGTGTTTCTTTTATAAAGAAAATAACAGTCATGTGAAGATTTTGCTGATTCAGCTGTCCTGCTTGAATTTATTAATGGAAAGATCAGTTCATAATCTTAAGTGTTAACATTTTAACCATTTTATTCGCAGGATAAAATATTGTAATAGAAATTTTAATGATTTTTTTTAGAAATTTGGAAAAAAATTTAATAATATTTATACTGAAATGGAAAGAATATTTGACAAGTTTGGCACATTTTTTTTCTCTAAAAGATTGATGCATAATATCAACGGTCTCTAAATTTACCAAACAGAAACCAAAAATCCAAAAGCAAAGTAGAATAAGAAGAGAAAATATAAAGAGAGAACTTAATTCATGAATATGGGATAAATCAACTTCTATTCAAAACAGAAAACTTATGAAGATGATCAACAATCCAAAAGAGATATAATCATCAAAACATAGCAGAGTATTTGTTATTATAACATATAGTCAAAACAGAAAATTAGACAATGATCAGTCTTTGTTATTACAACATAGATACTTCTTCCTCCAGCTTTTTCAACGTCTCATCGTTCTCAATCATGAATTCTTTGGTCCGTTTCATAAGATTCCTAGTTCTCTGGTGGTAAAACGAGAGAAAATAACGAATTACAAATGTAACCACAAGCAAAACGCAAAACTCATTGCATTCTAGATCACCTGTTCTTGATCTTATAAAAGATTTTGAATGATCAGGCAGTATAGCCGCAGCTTAAAGAGGAACAAACAAAATAAAAAAGTAAAATTAGGCAAGAAATTTTGGAATATAGATCATAATCGGATCTCCAGACCACCACATACCAAGTTCATTAGTTATATCTACCTTGGAAAAATAGGAAGTCAGATATATTCATGAGATCAGGGTTCCTTGTTTGTGCCAGCCTCTTTGTTGCAGACATAGGTTATTGGCAGAGTGCATTGTGAAGGTGCTTCTCACTCTTTCTGGTTGTTTAAGTCTAACATTCTCTTTTCAGTAGAACTTGAAGAGCCAGTATTGCTAGATGCTTTCAATAATGAGTTTGATAACCGGACCCGTTTAAATCAGCCCCAAACCGGATTGACTATACCGGACCGAACCTCGTTTTCTGTAAATAATTAGCATTAACCACCACCGACCTCATAAACACAGAGAGAGAAAGAGTCCTCTCACTTTCATAATTTCATTTTCTTTCTCTATATATATATATTCAACCAAAACAAAAGCTTAAAGCTTTAGAGTGTGTGTATCTGAGAGAGAGAGAGGGAGCGTTAATGGCGTTAGCGAATAACTTAACGGCGATACTGAACTTGCTAGCGTTACTATGTTCGATACCGATAACGGCGTCAGGGATATGGCTTGCCTCAAAGCCCGACAACGAGTGTGTCAATCTCCTCCGTTGGCCCGTCGTTGTTCTCGGCGTTCTCATCCTCGTCGTCTCTGCCTGCGGCTTCATCGGCGCCTACCAGTAAGTTTGGTTTATACAGAGAAATACAGATACTTTGCGAGTTTTTTTCAACCTTAGACACTTCAATTCAGTGAAAAAAATTAAACTTTGAAACCCCAGAAAACAGAGGGAACTAATCAAAACACAAAAATTCCAATTTACAAATTAAATTCAAACCCGGAAAGATTTGTTATCACAAAGAACTCAACTTTGAGCTCAAATTATCATTCGCAGGTACAAGGAAAGATCAAAGAACAATTGTGTGAAAAAAAATTGAAACTTTGAAAAAACCCAGAAAACAGAGTGAATCTGAAAAACGAAATTTTCCAATTACAAATTAAGTCTCAAGCTGAGAAAGATTTGTCATCACAAAGATCTCAACTTTCAGGTACAAGGAGACTCTACTGGCTGTTTACTTGTGCTGTATGGCGATACTGATCGGACTTTTGCTGGTGGTGCTGATATTCGCTTTCGTCGTGACCCGACCCGACGGGTCTTACCCGGTTCCGGGTCGAGGTTACAGAGAGTACAGGCTCGAAGGGTTCTCGAATTGGCTGAGAGAGAACGTTGTTGACTCCAAGAACTGGGGAAAGATAAGGGCTTGTTTGGCTGATACTAAAGTTTGTCCTAAACTCACCCAACAATTCATCACCGCTGATCAGTTCTTCTCTTCATCTTCCATCACTCCTCTCCAGGCACGTTCTCTCTCTCTCTCTTCTTTTATTCTTATTTTCTTTCTGAACCCGAAACTTTCGAGTTTGTTACATCTGGCCCCCACAGTTTTCATTTTTCATACCGGTTTTGGTTTAGTTAATCATGACCGGTTCTAGGCATTTGTAACGCATTTGCATAGATTTTCTCGAAAAACTTACACAAGTCACTAACGCGGTAAATGCGTCCACTAGTCAATCAAAATCGTAATATCACGCTCGACATGATTATTGATAGGTAACTTGTAAACTATACATTGGTTATTTGGATATTAGATCTCTGAGTCAAGAAGTCCACATCTTAAGTTAGTGATTTGTACAGTAGTTGCTTCTAAATGGTACCATTTGTTTTCGGATATTTATTATAGGTAGTTTAGCGGGATGCCAACGAATCATCTTGTTAACTAAAAATTTGTTTACAACATGTTTAATGAACATAAGATGCGATTTTAAAGAGAATGTTTTGTTAATATCTAGATAATGTAAAACCTACGGTTTGTTCTTATAAATGAAAAAAAAAAAAAAAGAGAGAGAAAGGTCCATTATTCAAAAAGTAATATATGGGGTTTATATCATAAAGTTATTAAAATTTCACTTTAGCTTTTGTGAAGAAGTCCAAAAGAGCATTGTTCTTATTCTCTACATTCCTTTTTTATTTTATAGTAGCTTTTCACGTTTCAAATTATTTCTCTTTCGATTAAACCCCATATATTTAATTTTATCATTTGAAATCTACAAAAGTCTCAATGTAAAATTGAACTTAATCAAAATAAAACGTTCTCTGAACAATTCAAACCTGTATCTTCTAGTGTCGGAGAGGAAACCCGGCTAATTTTCTCACCAAATTGCACTTGTGCTATTTCTGTAGAAGATTACTCAAAATCTAGTCATCTAGGCACATGCAAAAACACACTTGAAAACATATTTTAAAAGTTCATATTGAAGTTACTATATATATATATATATATATATATATATTAAAAGCATATTTATTCCTAGGAGACTGGTGTAGAAGTTGCTGGAAACCAACAGTCCAAAAAATTATAGTAAGATAACCAGCATTTAAAATAATACACTATCATAAGGACCTACCTATGCACCCACAATATGGTACATGATAAAATATGTTTATTTTGTTTGTTCTTTGTCACTATCTCACTCACATAATTCAATCATCCCATTCTCTTTATAGCCTTTTATCTAATCTCAATCCAAAATTTTGAACCTTTTTATTCAAAATTAAAAATAAAGCCACTCTTAAAATTCACTTCATGTCTTTTAGGCTTGAAACATGGAGAGATTAAGGGCATAGCTTAAGGGCTTTTGTTCAAAACCATGTATTGACCTAATGAAGTGGTTACTGGTTACTATATTTCTATTGAAATCAAGAATTAGTTATGTGGGTAAGAAGATCATTTATTCTAAAATTTATACGAATTAAAATTTGTGTATATTCCTTATCAAATAATATTTTCACGTAAATGTGTGTTATATTATATGGAAACCTTAAACCATTTAAACAAATTTTATACCTTTAATTTCTAGCAAGTTGGCATCTGAGTCCACACTAACAAGATTGGAAGCACTACTAATAATTAAATAAGCCTAGATGATGAGGTTTTGACTATTGTATATCGAGAATAATTAGACATTATTAAATAGATTGAACCGATGATTAAGTTCAATAATTGCAATCACAAGTCGTTGTCCCCATCATAAAATATAATAAATAATTACATTTACATCTCTCCATGGTCTTTTATTGGGATAAATTATAAGACTGGAAGAAATATATAAGAAGCTTTAAATTTCGGAATACAAACCCTAAATTCTCCAACTCCTTACACGATAATCTGGAATATCTACAAGATCGTCAAGCTTACATAACATTAAAATTTCAAGCTATTCAAAAGATTGTCATATTTTCATATTTGTTGAGCTTCTGATCATATCCAACTATGACATTAGTTTTCTTTGTGTTGCATGTACAGTCCGGTTGCTGCAAACCACCTTCTGCATGTGGCTACAACTTCGTGAACCCGACACTGTGGCTAAACCCAACCAACATGGCTGCAGACGCAGACTGTTACCTGTGGAGCAACGACCAAAGCCAGCTTTGTTACAATTGCAACTCATGCAAAGCTGGTCTCTTGGGAAACCTTAGAAAAGAGTGGCGTAAAGCAAATCTCATACTTATCATCACTGTCGTTGTTCTCATTTGGGTCTATGTTATTGCGTGTAGTGCGTTTAGGAATGCTCAGACTGAGGATCTCTTCCGCAAATACAAACAGGGTTGGGTCTAAAGTGTTGATATTATTGTATTCGGAAATAGCTTTGTGTTTCCAAAGGGATTTTTTTTCTTTTTGCATGGATTTTGCTTTTTTATGTTAGGTTGATTGTGAAGAAAGGAAAGATAATTGAACCAATTTATACTGTCAAGTGAATTTCATTGTTTTGGATAGGAGTGTCATTTAAACCTTTGAAATTATTATTGATTGCAATTTGTCACTTGTACAAAATCAAGAGGATTTAACCATGAACATCTACTCACTTGTGTTTCTCATTCCTATAATTTGTTTTCATCCTGCATTATGTCAAGATATAAACCATGTCAACTTCTTTATAAAACACATCACAAGGAGATTAATACATATGAGTATGATTCTTTCAAGCGATAAGTTTATACTTGCATCTACTAGTTTGAAATATTATTACGATACGCAAAACACGTTTGATAAGTAACACGCAAACACACACAAAAATTCTTACTGT